ATAATGTCTTCTGGCCAATCAGAATCACGATAACGGCGTGGTGTTGTTGCAGGAAGTCCCGACGGAGAATACTTTTGCTGTAGTACATCTCTATAGGCTATACATCGATACAACATTACGTGTTGATAGAAATCAACACGTAATGAAATAAGACCCCACGGTTTGATGATTGATAGGTGTGTGGGCTGTCTTTCATTTTGACACACAGAACAATGGGGGCTATCCACCCTTATCCACAATGTAAAGTAATTCACACAGCCTCTTCCCTCTTCTCTCTGTGAGGAGCAGCAGGTTCAGCTTTCAGAACAAAGTCACAAAAAACTAAAATGCCATTCATTTTTTTAAATATGTCGTGTAGAAATAGATTTATTTATTTTCTTCTCAAGAGAGTACCAGAATGTGTATTTTATGTTAGTATTTAAAAAAAATCTCCTGGGGGAGAATCCCCCCAGACCCCCCTGCAGGGGTTGGGTTTTCAGCATGCCTTTCACCTGAGGGGAAATTGCAGGATTGGCTCCAGGTCGCCCTTTTTATTTACTACAAGACAAATGTGCCTTTTTATTTCATACAGTTCAATTTGGATTGAGACAGGGAAATAATCTAAACCTCACGCGTGGCGTTTCACTGTCAAGGGTGGCGATATAGCGTGTATGTAATTACATTGCAAATACTGACTTGAGCCCCACCACTGTATGGGTTAGCCCTACCATAGATTACCCAACAAAAATACTCTGGAGCCGCCACTGCTTGAAGGCAGTTTGTTTGAGCATGTAGGAGTCACGCGTCACCGTCCAGTTTAGCGTAGTATAGTGGAGGATGCACTTTCTGCCTCCAAAAACATGGAGGCCGTCTCCTGAGGGTGAAGCCGGTGCAGTGACAGGAAGTAAATCTCAGACGGTCGTGTGAGGAAACAAAGACTAAAGCTGTAGCCTCATCCCAATACCCCTCCTCGACTCCTCTCTTCCCCTCCTCCGGGACTTGACCCGGAAATCGATCAAGACACGCCATTTTGAAGGACGTCCCAATAGCTGAAATGCACACGGAGGAGTCGAGGAGGGGTGAGGGAGGAGGGGTGAGGGAGGAGACGAAAGGGAGGATACACGAGAGCAGACTACGCGGAAGTGTTTTCACTACTCGCATATAAAAGCCCCGCCCCCACCTTCACAGCTGGTCGATTTCAACACAGGAAAACGGAGAACTGGAAGAATGAGTGGAAAAGCGTCACATAAATGTATAAGTGCTCACAGCTCCGTGGGAATTATTATGTGCAATTCATTTCTTAAGGTTATACTAACAATTTAAGTCATGTTTAATGATCTTGAACGTCACTAAAACATAGCTATTAAGAAAGCTATTTCATAAATGGCTAGATCTTGATAAATAACAATTATTTGTTTTGTTTTGTGTTAAGATATTCAGGAGTTAAATTATTTAAAATTCACAGTCCTGAATGTGGGTTTGTGGTAAATGTGGGGATCTACAGGACACACATTTTCAGAGTAAAGGCTTTCACATTATTATAATTATAATTTTATTGAAATGTACATTTTACACCAAAACGGAACACAAAAGCAGGACCAACCATCATACATTGAATTCCTTGACTAAAAAGAGAAAGCTTTATCATTTAAATACATATTTAACAATAAATGGGCCGGTTCTAAGGGGTTATTCAGTTAAACCCAATGAGAGGGGATACAGCTGTGCACATGTCATCATTAACAGACGTCGTTTAAGAGTGACGTTTGAGTGAACGAGGACATCCCAATTAATACCTGAGGACTCCTCTGTCCTCGCGTCACCTCCTCGTGTCTCTCGCTCGCATTTTACGGAGGCGGAGCTAAGACGCAAGGAAGGGACGTGAGTGAGGGAAAGGAGGAGTCGAGGAGGGGTATTGAGACGAGGCTAGTGAGTCAGGGAAACGTCCTGCAGTGAAGTGCTCATTAGCGACTACATCATTAATCAAATTTAACACACACGCACGCACGCACGCACACACACACACACATACACACACACATACACATACACACACACACTGCTCCCACACAATGAATACAACTTTTCCAGAGGGAGAACATTTACTCAAGTACAGTACTTCATGTGGTCATCATGCACTTTTACTCCACTACATTTATTGAACACCTTAAATTACTTCACAGATGTGGATGAATGATGTGAAATCTAATCAAGTGTTAAATCAGACTTTAGTTCCACCTGGAGTAAATTCACAAGCTACCCTGCAGTATACAAAGTCATTCAAACTAGCTGCACCTTTACCAGCTTTGAGAACACTTTCATGATCAATCATTATAAAACATATCATATATATTATTCTGAAATGGATCAATCTGCACAATGACTACTTTCACTTTTGCTACACAGAAGTTCACAAAATCTCCTCTTCCCAGCCTCCCCCGTCAGAGGGTTAAAGAAAGAGAAGCATGTCTGCAGAAAACGCTTTACAGAATCATGCCAGGACATTTCTTTCAGATCCTTCACACTCAACAGGATGTGCACTATATTCTCTGCTTTCATGAAGGGTTTAACCCCAAGCTGCACAGAAGCATCTTGGGAAAACATTTTGTCAAAGTAAGAATTGTGAAGTTAGACGAACCCCTACAGTATATATAGGTATTGGGAACAAGTTGTTATTAATGGACTTTATTTATACTGTTTGCATTGCCTGTATGTATTCATCTTAAAGGCTACATATCCAAAGTTACGTGAGTGTAAAAAAAGAAATTAAAAAAAGCCACTCAAATAAACAATTTGTGGTTTTTCGTTATGTTTTGTATAAGTCTACGTCTTTGTATTGTACCACAACATATATATATTTGTATTTGTATTGATCCAAATAAATAATAATTGCATATAAATTCATCTCAGCTTTGCTCAAGACACTGGAAAGTCAATCTGGATCTTTTCATGAACCTCAGTTTGTAGAAAAAAGACAGAGAGGAGAGGAGCTGTATATTATTTATAAGAGAAGAGATAAGCTGAAGCATGACTGGAAATGATGAGTTTAATTAAGTGTGAGGATGTGTTAATCTGGGCCCACAACATATACATTTACACATTTTACACATTGTGATGGAGCCTTTCTGTGTGGGTGTGTGCATCAGTGTGTGTTTATAGGTGGCAGTAATCACATTTGCTTGGTGATGTAAAATAAAATCACCCTTGTAGTTAAATTAAATCAATTTGGAATAGCACATCACCCACTGTTAACAGGAGACGGTGACTCAGAAGATTGAGTTTATTTTAGATTTAGTAGAACTATTTCAGTTCCAGTTATCAGTGAAGCAAGAATAGTGACTGTCTCTGGATACATACAGTTAAAGAGTCCTCTCCTGCTGATGATCAGGTGTATATCAGTATGTACTGTCTCTACTTTAAAGAGTCCTCTCCAGCTGATGTTCAGGTGTATATCAGTATGTAGTGTCTCTACTTTAAAGAGTCCTCTCCTGCTGATGTTCAGGTGTATATCAGTATGTAGTGACTCTACTTTAAAGAGTCCTCTCCTGCTGATGTTCAGATGTATATCAGTATGTAGTGTCTCTACTTTAAAGAGTCCTCTCCTGCTGATGTTCAGGTGTATATCAGTATGTAGTGTCTCTACTTTAAAGAGTCCTCTCCTGCTGATCTTCAGGTGTATATCAGTATGTAGTGTCTCTACTTTAAAGAGTCCTCTCCTGCTGATGTTCAGGTGTATATCAGTATGTAGTGTCTCTACTTTAAAGAGTCCTCTCCTGCTGATGTCCGTGCAGGGCCGCCCCTCCTATCCGCAGAACACACGCAGTGCAGCGGGCCTCATCTTATTTGCAAATGCAGCGCAATAATGCACGCCACAGTTTCCCCGCAGCGAAGCTCCGGCGCTAACGGTACGTCCACACGGCAGCGTGCGTTGAAGCTTCCCGGTGGGCGTGTCTGGCTCGCGACCAACAACCAATCACATTAATCTCCCGCCCCGGAGACACAAGCACACGGTTTGATTGGCTAGCGCTTGTACTGCCATATGATTTGATTGGCTGACCCTTCCGTCGAAGCTTGAAAAGTTGAGCTTTTCTCAACTTTCGCAGCGAGCAACGGAGGCAAAGCGACGGAACCACAATGCAGTTCGGCAAAGCCTGACGTCACCCCATTCAAAGTGAATGGGAAGTGTCTCCGTTGAAGCAACGCACGCTGCCGTGTGGACGGGCCGTAACAGTTCAGGAGCCAAACACGCCAAAACGCCAACGCAACAACACACCAACATGCAAAAGCAACAACGCACCAACATGCAAAAGCAGCAACTAGCCACAATGCCAAAATGCCAAAACGCCAACGTGCCAACGCAACAACACGTCAACAAGCAAACGTGCCAATGCAACAACACGTCAACGCAACAACGCGCCAACGCAACAACACGCCAACACAACATTTTATGTTGACAATATGAAGCCAGGTTTAGGAAGTCAAATTAAAACCACAATATTAATGCGACCGGTAGCTCAAAAGAGGAGCAAAAATTATATTTCTAATGAATGCATTATATGAAAAAAAGAGTTTGATTCCACAAATTTAAATATCAAACTCACTTTCAGGGTTTATCAATATCTGGCATTAATTGACCGACTGAATGATGGATTACGTAATTCAGAATTATGATTTAATGCATTATTTTTAAAGTGCAGTCTAAGATCCATTTTGACTGCAGAGTAAAGTCAGTCCATGCTCGAGTGATCATGCAATCAGGTTTAATGTTTTCCTCTCTGAGGCGCCTCTAATATTGTGAGGCGTCATAAAGACACTGCTGCAGACTGTGTTCAATAATAAAAGCAAATGCTGAAGCCGTGATACAATTTTAAAGTCTTACGAGCTAAATATGTAAAAGCGTATTTTGTGTTATGTTGATTCGCCTGTATGCTTTACCCATGAGCCACTCCTCCTGACGTGTGAAAGGCAAACTCCTCACCAGATACAGACCGGTATTTTTAGATATTGTCCAGATTTTATATGATCAAAAACAACTTATGTGGACAAAAACTGTCATGGTAACACACCGTAGGAAACCACACGAGTAGAGTGGACATACATTACAACAACGTCAGCACAAGTTGCATTTAACCACAACGACACAGTTGTACATTTATACCGTTTTTAAGAAGTCACAGTGGAGATAATCACAAAGGCAATGTTGGGATGCAAACTGTTGATATGGAGAGAGCTGCTGCATATACAGTATATGCATATCCGTCTCTTTCTAAAACAGCATGACCAGTTATTCAATGCATGATTATAATTATGGCTTCTATCAAAGTTGCCAAAGCTACCAAAATCCACATCTGATCCTAAAGGGCTAAAATTAAATACTTTGGCGCCCCATTGCACGTTATTCCCACTCTCTGTGTTTCGCTGTTGGGAGGTGAGTCAGAGAGTTTTTGTATTCAGTGCAGCCCGTCTGATTGGATGTTGTGCCAGCGAGCCGTCTCTATTTGCCCCCGGCTGCACATTTCCTTCCAGTGTCCCTGACCCTCCTCGGAGGTATCGCCGCCGATTAACACCCGACCCAGAATACTGCTCTTAGTGTAGAGACGGCCCTGTGGACACATGGAGAATACTGAATTAAACATATGAAGATATTCAGATACAAATATTAAATCTGGCCTGCAGTCCCTTTTAACGTCTCATGCCCTTTATTTCACCCTTTGAAAACAGTCACTTCCACATAAAAGCAAAACTGACCCTGCTACTTATCAACTTGTTTGGGTGTAAGTTGCTGAGTTGGATATATTGGAAATATTGAAGAGCTGTCTGCTTTTTCTCCAGTAAAATGAAGGCAGATGGCACTGACAACGGCTTGTTGTACCAAAAAGATGCTCAACAATCAATCAATCAATCAATGTTTATGTATATAGCCCAATATCACAAAGGTTACATTTGTCTCAGTGGACTTCACAGTTTGTACAGAATATCAGTATGAAAATACGACACCCTCTGTCCTTAGACCCTCACATCGTACAAGGAAACACTTACAGAGAAAACCCCACAGTTTAAAGGGGAACATGGGAGAAACCTCAGGGAGAGCAACAGAGGAGGGATCCCTCTCCCAGGACGGGAGAAAATGTCTCTTTGAAGAAATCTTAACCCTGTTAATCATAATAATCTACATATCTTGTTTTGTGTAGTTTCAAATAGGAACTATTTCTTTCTACCCTTTTACAACACAGAAGGAATTCTGCATCTACACTTATAGAGTATATGAACGCTTCCTTCCGCACAATCATACTGTTATCGGGTGTATTTCATTAGAAAGAAAATAGGTCTTACAATAAATGTCTCATATGGAAGTCTGTTGAGTAAATGGGTCATGACTTCTTCAAAAGTGCATTTCCATAATGTTTCCTCCATAGTGTTTGTATTTTGCAAATTATTTATCTAATATATCATTCCATGTACTTGTATATAGACTCTTCTTGCACTATTTCTATTTTATTTGTATTTACTTGCCCATCTCAAAACATTCTATTGCACTATTTAATCTGTTTTATTTGTTTTAAGTCCTATATATATATTCATGTTGCTCTGTTGGAGGAGCCTGGGACTAAAGTGTTTCATTGCCATATCTACACTGTAGCTGCTGCGCAAATGACAATAAAGCCTTGAAATTTGAAACTTGAAATACCTGCATGATGATGAACTCGAGCACCAGCTGGGAGATGTCTCCAGGCGGCAGGTCGAACAGGAAGGGAGCGTTCCAGACGGGATTCGAACCGCTCGCCCCTTTGGTCTCCTTCGTACCGATAACCTTCCCATCCTGACGCAGGTTGATGACAACGTAGTGGTCTGTGGGGAGAAAATAAGATAAGATAAGATAAGATGGACCTTTATTTATCCTCGTGGGGAAATTCAGGAGTTTTAGCATCTACAGAGTGAGAGCGAAAATACAGTACAGATTCACACAAGATCAATTCAATTAAAGGTACAATTAAAAACATTTTGTATCTTTGTATTTTATTATGTATGTTGCATTGTTGGAGGAGCTCAGGTGAGAATAATGTCATTGCCATTTCTACACTGTAGCTCATGATAATAAAACCTTTGAATCTTGAATCTTTGAAAAAGTTGTTTTCATTTAAAAATGATATACAGATAAGTAACTGTTAAAACAAGAATTTTGTTAAATTAATTAAAGGAAAATATATACATATCTGAGTCCGGATTGTTAAATATATTTACATGTATGTGTGCAGGTCAAAGTTATTGTGCAAATACATCCACCGTCATGATTTGATTTATTTAATTCAGATTTGCTTTTCTATTTTTGTCATATTTTTATTTAAAGGGTTCCTTTTGACAAGAATAAACCAAAAAGAGGCAAACAATTTGGATTAAAACACACTGAATATAAGAAGTGAAAAAAGTGATGTCACCAAATGGTTTGTAGACTATGGTTTTGAGACGTCAAGTTTGACATTTTAGCCATTGATGTCTGTTTTTTTGCGACCAGAAGTTACAGGAAAGGGTTAAGGAAGTACAATTGAATGTTGAACATGATGAAGGCATAACAAATCCAATCATTGGTTGTGTTGTTGGTCTTGAATGCAGACACACTCACTGCAGTTGTTGTGTTGATCTAACCCTTCCTTGAACATCTTTTCACTATCACTCTTCCAAATCTGCATAATCACTTGCAAAATATGATTTCGCCAATAAATCCATTCTAACATGCTTGTTGGAATTAATAAAAAATGATAAAAACAACTGTCGTTAGCAAACAAGACTCATGCATCTGCAGGAAGGATGTATTTGGACAGATTTCAGAAACTCACAAAGAAGAAAACTGACCACTCAGCCTCCAAAGGTCACATTTACTGCAGGAAACCAAAACATTAAAGCTGTTTTCCTCTTGCACCATCTCCTGCTTCCTCCTCTCCTCAACGGCAGGGCTTTAAATCAGCCGCAGTGAGATGTGATGCAGACAGGAGGGGAAATGACAACGGGCTAATGTGATTATAAAACAAGCCAAAGAAGGATCCGGTCTGTCTGACTGTGGCCGAGACAAAACAGGGAAATAAGGACAGAGGCCTACAGACCTGATGGCAGTTTACATGTCCAACCATTGTCCTCCTGTATGGTGTGAGTACAGTTTCAATATATTAGCCGCCGACTCAGGTAGCCCAGCTGTCTTGGTGCTGTTAGACCTGACTGCTGCCTTTGACACTGTGGACCATAGCATCCTGTTGTCACGGCTCGAACAGTCCGCAGGCATCACAGGCTCTGCCCTTGCATGGTTCAGGTCCTACCTGACAGACCGTAGCTTCTCGGTACAGCTAGGTGCCTTCTCCTCTGCTAAAGCCCCTCTTACCTGTGGGGTTCCCCAAGGCTCGATTCTGGGCCCCATGCTTTTTCTACTGTACATACTGCCCCTAGGTTCAATTCTCACAAAACACAACATCCCCTTCCATTGTAACGCCGATGATGTACAGATCTATCTGCCTCTCAATTCTAATGTCAACTCATTACAGCAGTTGATGGACTACTTGACAGAGATCAAATCCTGGCTGAGCCAAAATGTCCTCAACCTCAACGAGAGCAAGACTGAGGTAATCTTTTTTGGACCCCAACCTCCAGCCTCCCCGGTTGAAATTCTGGTCTCCCTCAATAAAAACATCCTCCCCTCTGTCATGAACCTTGGAGTGACCTTCAATAGCGCTTTTAAATGTGATAAGCAGGTCAGCACCGTAGTCAAGACCTGCTTTTTTTAAATACGACTATTGGCCAAGACCAAGTCGTTTTTATCTTTTAAAGACTTAGAAAGGGTTATTAACGCCTTTATTACCTCGAGACTGGATTACTGCAACGCTCTGTACGTGGGTATGGACCAGGCGTCAATTAGACGCCTGCAGCTAGTCCAGAACGCAGCTGCACGTCTTCTCACTGGCCATAAAAAGCGTGACCACATCACCCCAATTCTGGCCTCACTGCACTGGCTTCCTGTTCGGTTCAGAATTGATTTTAAAATCCTTTTATTTGTTTTCAAAGCCCTAAATGGGCTGGCTCCGGCCTATATAGCTGAACTCCTCCAGCGCTACACCCCAGCCAGAGCTTTAAGGTCGGCTGACCAGCTGCTACTGGTAGTGCCCAAGACCAGGCTCAAAACCAAAGGGCACCGAGCCTTCGCAGCAGCTGGCCCTAGGCTCTGGAACACTCTGCCCCTCCATGTGAGGTCGGCCCAGACCCTAGGTTTTTTTTAATCGACACTAAAGACTCACTTCTTCTCCCTGGCCTTCTAGTCAGAGCGGAGCACGACTCCTGACATTTCCCTGTGTTTGATTTTTATATTTGCTGTTGTAATTTATTGTCTTCTGTTTGCTATCGCAGTAAAGTGTTTTTATTGCATGTACAGCACTTTGGCTCGACCAAAAATATTTTTTTAAATGTGCTATATAAATAAAACTTGATTTGATTTGATTTAAATGCTGCATTTGTTGTCAAGTTGCTGAAGATGTTTCTTCATGTTTACAGGAACATTTGTGTCACTGCCACTGTAAATAATTATCATTAACCCCATGTTGCAGGGGGTAACAGTAGTAGAAAAATGCTGGGAAATTACGTAAAATAAATTACTAAAGTTATCTTATTTAGTTTTTTTGTAAGTGTTTACCTGCAGCTCCTGGAATGCGTGTGAGCTTTGCCAGATTCTCTGCCTTCCTGACCATCACTTTGATTCGCTGAGCCAGAGTCTGAAACTGCAGCAGGACGAACAGCTGGCCCAAAACCCGCGGCACACACACCGAGCTCTTCCTGCGACCCAGAGTTTCCTGGGAGCTCACACTCTGAGGATAGGAAAGAAGGGAGAAAGAAACATGTGACACATTTGGCAAAAGGGAAGAAAGATGGTCTTCTTTCACTCTGCAGATGTTCCCTTCATCCTTTTAGGAGGTGGAGGAAGTGACACAGAGGAAATAAACCAAGAGAACGGATCAGATTTAAACTGTAAAGCATTTAAAACCCATGCTCAGTATTTTTACTGTAAATGAATGAGTCCCCCAAGGCATTGATACTGTCAGAATACATTTAAAGGGATTCACCGTGAATCACTGCCTGTCAAAGTAAAGGTTAGGAGCTTGAATTTCAATGAGTTTATCTTCATTTCATAGATCTATTAAAAATATAATCACATTTATTCATGAGGCACGTTGGATTCCCCTGCCTGAGGAGCTCAGCTGAATCTGCATCACATTTCCAATCACTTAAAGTTAATCTGTGATGTTGGTTTTATGTAGATGTCAGGATTGTGCATGTTCTCGCCATTGACCACCCATCCTAAAATAATACAGCCGTCTGCAATGCACTGAGGCACTCTGGGTAGAAGGGAAAGCTAATTTGTAATTCTAAAGGGGTCATTTACATCTGATTTCCTGTCAGCTTGCATCGGTTGGGCGGTGGTGAGTCAGACGTCGAGCAGCAGAGTGTGAAGGAGATTTTATCCAACAAGTGAGTTCAGTTAAGGCTCAGCGCCTCCGTCATTTTAACTCAGAGACACTGACCCTTACTCTGCCTTTTAAATTAAAATTCAAAGGTGTTATTGTCATATGCACATAAGCTACAGTGTAGAAATGGCAATGAAACTCTTGACCTGAGCTCCTCCAACAATGCAACATATATAATAAAATACAAAAATACAAAATGAAAAATACAGCAAGAAGTCTATATACACGTAAATAGAATATGGTAGATACAAGAACAGAATGTGAAATTAAATAATGTACATTAAGACTAAATGAAATACTGTTTATTGCGGTGATAACTATTTATATAAATAGGCCCTTATTGTACTTTTGGGGTTTTCCCTTTCCTGTAGGTTTTGGTGCATGTAAATGGTCTGCAAAGGCTAAAATCCCTTTGTTCCCTAAAACACCTCCATTGTACTCCTTTTTTCACTTCCTGAACATAGTGACATCACTATGTAACACTTGTGCTCCTATTGGCTAGCACTCCAACAAATTGTACGTGATAGGCTAAAGGGGCGGGACATCTCTAAGCTGTTGACCAATCACAACAGAGCCGGTCAGCTAACCAATCAGAGCAGATTTGTAATTTATAAGAAGAAACAAACTCTATTACTCAAATTGTGTGGAGTTAATAAGTGGATACAAGGTGAACATCTGGAGCAAAGACACCCAACATTATTATATAAAAACTCACATACCAAAACAATAACACCCACATATACTGCAGATAGATTCTAGTGGATGTCATACATCTCCATGCAGCAAAACACCATTAAAACTGATGAAAATAAAAAAGATTTACTGTATATTATAATCACCTACTCTTAGTTTGGACATCAGTTTATGCATCCCTAATGTTATCCTTAATCATGACTGACAAAAGTTGAGGATAAGGATGTATGACTGTAATAAAAATAAAGAACCTGCATGCCTGGAAAATGACTTTTTCTGATCATCCTATCAGAACCGCTTCATGCAGATCAGGCTCCTTTGAGTTAAAATGCCCAGTCCTTAAATCATCCATCCATCCATCCATCTTCTCCCGCTTATCCGTGGTCGGGTGGCGGAGGTAGCATTTCCAGAGAGCCCCAAACGTTCCTTTCCCTGGCCACATCAACCAGCTCTGACTGGGGGATCCCAAGGCGCTCCCAGGCCAGAGAAGAGATATAATCCCTCCACAGGGCCTAGGTCTACCCCTTGGTCTCGTCCCAGCTGGACGTGCCTGGAACACCTTCCTATAGGGAGGCGCCCAGGTGGCATCCTTACGAGGTGCCCGAACCACCTCAACTGGCTCCTTTCGACGCAAAGGAGGAGCGGTTCAACTCCGAGTCCCTCCCGGATGACTGAACTTCTCACCTTATCCCTAAGGGAGACGCCAGCCACCCTGCGGAGAAAACCCATCTCGGCCGCTTGTATCCTTAAATCATCATGCACCTTATTCCAACAAAATGTCAAAACAGGTAATAGAATTGGGGAGGGATGAAACCCTCTTTAATGGTCACACATGCAGAGCACACAGCACACACAGTGGCATTTGGCCTCTGCATTTGACCCATCCTAGTACCAGGAGTCTAGTACTAGGAGCAGTGGGCAGCTAGTGTACAGCGCCCGGGGAGCAATGGGAGTGAGGGGGGTGTCCAGTGCCTTGCTCAAGGGCACCACGGCAGGGCAGGAGGTGAACTGGGACCTCTCCCAGTAGAAGTCCACACTCCATATTTAGGTCTGTTCGGGGACTTGAACCGGCGACCCTACAGCTCACAGTCCAAGCCCCTACCGACTGAGCCACTGCCGGACCATGTAATGCAGATGAATAATCATCAATTCTACGAACTGTAAATCCTGGAAGAGCCTACATTAAAAGATAGAGTCCGTACTTCACACGTCACATCCACATCCAAACAGTTGATTCACACCGAACAAGAGAAAGATAAGAGAAAGATAAGAGAAAGATAAGAGAAAGATAAGATAAGATACGATGGGACTTTATTTATCCCGAAGGAAATAAGACGGTCACATAATTAATGTAAAATACTGTACAGTGACAAGCAGTATTTAGTACTTCAAAAAAACGTAGTGGAAGATATGTAATTGCACGTTATTATAGAACATTATTCATAATAAGAAGAATATTGCACATGTTATATAGCAGAGAGTGTATAATGATGGTAATGGTATTTATTTTGCACATAGTGGTGTTGTGGAAGTTCTCAGTTCTCTTTACTGAAGGGTGAAGAGTTATAGAGCTTGATGGCCAATGAGGACGAACCTTGTGTGGCGTGGAAATGATACTGCCCTCCCTGCCGAGCAAACTGCATGCATTCTCGACGAAAACAAAGAAATGTCCCCCCCCCCTCCTTCCTGCAGGAGTCAGTTATTGGTGCCCTCTGGCTGAGTCTCAGAGGGCACAGCGTGGGCGCGCTGCCAATTTTCTGCACTCAGGTTGTTTGCTCTGCAGTCACTAACAACAATGTCACCATGACTAACAACAGTGGAAACATGGCTAATGGGAGAGCTGATTAGACGCTGCATTCCTTCATGGATTAAACATGATATGTGCAGTTTCCCTATCTGTGAAATCAACTGACGATGCAGACTTTGTTAAAAAAACATTTTTGAGTGACATCAGTACAGGGAGAGCAGTGCATAAAGTCAGTGTCCCAAAAGAGAAGTTAAAATACCTAAAAACAACACATTTGTGAACACACACACACACAAAAAACTAACATTTAACATAACAGCACAATCACTTCTCTCACTGATTGTGCTGTTATGTTAAATGATGCAAGTCAAATTTCAGACTTGATCTGAGCATTAAAGTATTATCGTATCGTAGATGCTTTACCGAACATTTGTGTTTTTTGTGTATTTATATTTGTAAAAGCTACGTTTTTTGTCAACAAATGAATGAATAATTGGGATATACCTTCTTCAACTTGCTTTTGGTTGGGTTAAGCTGCCGGTCTTTACTTTAGCGTACATTATTCAATATGCTCCAAATCTCTTATGGATGAAAGGAGTCCAGGCCTGAAGACTACACGCCAATATTGACTCTTTGACGTAGCGCCACCCACTGGCAACAGGAAGTTAAAGGTTTTAGGGGAAGTTTGCCCATTTTGCCCAATCTGAACCATTCAAATGGTGATAACGACTCATAAAGACCATTCAATGGGCTGATAACATAGAAACTGACGTGTCGACAACTTCAAATCTGCATTACATATCTGTATTACATATGCGTTACTGAACATTTGTGTTTTTTGTATATTTATGCTTGTAATAGCTACGTTTTTTGTCAACAAATATTTATAATAATAATTGGGATATACCTTCTCCAGCTTGTTCTTAGTTGGGTTGAGCTGCAGGCTGTAGGTGGAGGTTGACTTAATTACAGACATCTCTTTCCCAATGTATGTCAATTGGAAAACATATCTTTGGGCCCAATGACATCACGGCCTGACACGGAAGATGTAGTTCCGCCGTTTGGGCAATACGAAAAGTTGCTTCGATGTCTAGCTCACTTTTTGTCAACAAATGAATGAGTACTTGGGATATACCTGTGACTTCTGAAGCAATGGAGACAAGACTCAGAGAGACACAGAGAGAGCAGGAACTTTGATGGCACGATCTCTACCCCAGACCCATGTAGTTCTGAGAGAATAATCAACATGCTGCATAACAAGATAAAACCATAACACCTCTATCAGCTGACGCCAACAGGCAGGAACAGGAAGACAAAACACTGAGAGCAGCTCAAGGTCTCAGGCCTGTGCTCAGTGAGGGCAGTACAGACTGATAAACTGGGTCAAAGTTATGGGCCTAGGAAAATATTTCCCCAACAGTTCCTTGAACTTCCAAAACCTACCCCAATAATAAGTTTATGTCAACAAATGAATGGGATATACCTTCTTCAGCTTGCTTTTAGTTGGGTTGAGCTGCAAGCTGTAGGTTGAAGTTTTATCCGGTTCCCACTCGAGCGTTTCACAGGGCAGCTCCACCGATCCCAGCGCCGCCTCCCTCAGGCCGGAGAACTCCCGGCTGAACACCACCAGCCTCAGGGTGCAGCTACGCAACTCCGCCACAGAGCCCACCTGCAGCACCAGGCTCTGACCGTGGAGCTCCGTGCTGAGGCTGCGGCGCCTGGACGTCGTCCGCTGAGGGGAGGGGCAAAGTGGGGGTAGGCTAGCCCTAACAAACACCCCCATACGCCTTCGATGGACCCCCGAAAGCCCCAGGATGTTGACCATTAGGGTGCCACAGGTGGAGGAGAAGATCAGGGTGAAGTGGAGGAGAGGAGCTGGTTTTAAAGTGGAGTTAGAGCCGTACTGGGATGGATAATATGGCTCCCCCTGGTGGCTGGGAGCTGTCAGGTGACCGCTGTAAGGCAAGGCAAGGCAAGTTTATTTAAACAGCACCTTTCAACACAAGGCAATTCAAAGTGCTTTACAAAAATGAAAGACATTAAGAGCATTAAGAAATAGTGCAGCAGAAACATATTATAAAATGGCATTTTAAAACACTTGTTTAAAAATATATGTTCATCTTAATTCATTTCTTATTTTAAAGTTACTTAAAGGTGGGGTAGGTAATTTTGGAGAAACCAGCTCGAGTGTGCTAGAATTTGAAAAAAATCTGACACTTCCTTATAGAGCCCCTCCTCCAACACACATGAACGCACGCGCACATGACCAATGAGGGCACGAGATAAGTTTGTGCACAGATGGAAGGCTGACAGGCAGGTAGGCCATCCATGATTGGTCGTGCTTTTTACAGTACTACGGCTTCCACAGATTACTTTTTTGTATGGATTTTTTGTCAAAGCACTTCAGATATTCATTGCTATCGGGATGTTAAGAGCATTCCATGGAATATAACAAAAAGTGTATCTCGAGCCAGTTTCTCAAACTCACCTACCCTACCTTTAAGTGTATATAATTGTATTTGTATCTTTGATTTTATCTTGAATTTTATTAATCTCTAATCTGTGTGAATCTGTGCTGTCCTGTTTTTAATTCTCACCCTGTTGCTGTTAAACTACTGAATTTCCCCACGCACATTAATAAAGGTCCATCTTATCTTATCTTATAAGCAAAGATAATAAAACATGAATAACACAGGAAGGCTACATACAAAATAAAAGTTACAGTGCAGTGTGAGATATGAATATATCAATTATAAGCAGTGGCAAAAAGAAAAGTCTTCAGCCTTGATTTAAAAGTAGTAAGAGTTGCAGCGGACCGGCAGGTTTCTGGTAGTTTGTTCCAGCTGTACAGGAAGCTTTCTCCACTCACGGTGCTTCTCCGACCCTTGGACTTGCACAACTTAGTGAGGGAGGGCAGGGAAGCTCTTCCATGACTCGGGGATTTATTTATAGGTGAGCAAGGGACAGCCGGGGTGCTGAGGCGACGCATCGGGAAAGAAGAAGACGGTGATGGCAACAGGTTAGTGGGGTTTGGGTCAAAGAGCAGAGCGGTGAAATCGTCCTCTGATGGAGAAGAGATGCTGTTAGACGACGGGAACTCCAAAACGTCTCCATCCAGCTCCTCGTATTGCTGCTTCACCGGAGTCAAAGTCACTGTGACTCTCTCTGCAGGATGAGGACACAGGAAGACGGCCTCCTTGTCCGCCGATGAAACGCTTTTTCTTCTGCGACAGCAAAGGACACAGCCGAGAACCAGACAGTAGCAAAACACAGCTAGACCCACCGCCAGAAGGATCTGCAGGTGAACTGAGGACAGAAAACACAAAAAGAGACAGATACTGGGTTAACGGGTTTAATGAGGACCAGGAAATACAGGCTGTTTCGAAATTGGTCGGGCCACATTCTGGAAGTTTTTCATCTTTTCCGGCATTTTGACAAACTTCTTTTGCAGCAATTTACATGACGGAGAACGCAGATACACAAGGCAGTGACAGTTGTATACTCTGTTAATGGATTTAACGAGTAGCTACAAGTACAAGTTTTGTTCCAAAATTGGTCGGGACACTTTTTAGTGGAGGGTCTGGACGTTTTTCACCTTTCCGGCATTTTGATTTCTTTTGCACCAATTGATGATGAAAAACTAAAAATGAGACAGACACCGAGTTAATGGGTTTAATGAGGACCAGGAAATACAAGTTTGGATTCAAAATGGGACAGGACACATTTTTTGTGGAGGGTCTGGAAGTTTGTCATCTTTTCCGGCATTTTGACAAGCTTCTTTTGCATCAATTTACATGACGGACAATGCTGAATCAGTGACCGTTTTATACTCTGTTAATGGACTTAATGAGTAGCTAAAAGTACACATTTTGTTTAAAAATTGGTCGGGACACTTTTTAGTGGAGGGTCTGGAAGTTTTTCATCTTTTACTGCATTTCGACAAGGTTTTTCTTGCTCCAATCTATGATGAAAAACTCAAAATGAGACATATAAATACTGCGTTAACGGGTTTTATGAGGATCAGGAAATACAGGTTTCCTTTCAGTATTAGTCAGGACAGTTATTCAGTGGAGGGTCCGTTAGATTTTAGTATGAGACGCTTCATATTCTGCATTTGGATGCACAAATTGATGATGGAAAACTCTCAATTGAGATGGCACATGGCAGTTAAAATCCAAAATATTAGTGGATATAATGCAGTAAGGCTTTCAGGAATTCTGTATTCCATTCAAACATGTGTTTTTATATTTAAGAGAAAAGACTCAGTTGCAAATTAACAAATGTATTACGTTTTGTGCATCGATTGACCCGTCAGTAAAGACACATTTAAGGGGAATTCATTATAAGAGTTGAAGTGGTGTCTGACTCTGAACACGGTCATGTTGTGTCTGCAGTCTGCACTGCTAACCAGATCAAACAGGAAGTATCATCATCATAATTGTATAAATGGGATTGTTACAGTTTGATCCAAAGCAGGAGCAGAGTTTGCATCCGTGTCAGTTTCCCTTTAATTCAATTACTGTGTGTTTGTTTTCATCACCGGAGCATCATACATGGTATTCTTCAGTATTATGTATAAAACTCGTTATTGCTGACACCAAACAACAACAATAACATATTTACTAAAACATCTCTGAACATATGTTTGTACGTTTCATTTTATATATCAACTTACCATTGGTGGAAAGAATATACTCAATCACCATAATACTATTTTGACATAATTGTACTTGAGTATTTCAATTTTGTGCCGTTTTATACTGCACTGAATTTATTTAACACTTACATATTAAAAAATGTGATTTGTTTATATGATATGATGCAGTACCAGTATTTAAAATTGGCTTCCCATTGACGAACAATACATTAAAATGCCCTGACATGTTTATGTAAGTGATAAAAAAAAGGATAATATTATATTATATGAACATATAATACTGTAAAAGGTGTCATTATGCATATTGAGTACTTTTGATTCTGTAAGTACATGTATTACCTGTGTACTTCTAGTTAATTAACATTTCCCACTTGAGACTTTTACTTGTAATGGTTTAAGACAATAGAAATTCTACTTATTTTTTGTAACCAAATACATCAATATTTATAGATTTATAGGGTTTATTATTGGAGCTTTCACAAAATATTAAAACAATGAGATTACTAATAAATCAATATTATCAGTAATAAAGGTATAATGACTAAAGGTACATCATAAAAAAGCGGGTTTGAACACTCTGTATACAATTGTGACGCTGAGCTCCAATGTCCATTAATGTCAGAAACTGAGGGGGTGTGGTGGGGGGGGGGGGGGGATGAGTCATGCAGCATCACTGGGGGACAGTCTCTCCCTTTAAGACACTGCAAGATATGTATTATATGTAAAAATGTAAAATTACAAAGCAAGTCATCCTTTAATTGGTACAGGAACAGGCAGGTCCTCCAACATTATATGAAAAGTGTAGAAAGTGTGCAGCAGTGATTTAAGATTGTAAAGGCTGATGGATCAATCTAAAATATGACTGGGACTAAAATAGTTAAATCTGAGCTGTGCCAAATCTGCATGTTGCTAGATTTCACTCAATCCTGCATAAAAACATGCATTGACTTTACTTGCAGAAAGTAAAGCTTATTGTAACCTCTGTGCTTGAATAATATGTTCCTATTTACCTACAAGCTCTTGGTCCTTATTCATACAAAGTAATCTAAAACAAACACCCTCGCAATAACTTGCAGCCTGTCTCTCCTCAGTGCATGCCTCAGTTTAGACTGCCTATGCAACACAAATACTCTTCTTCTCTCTCTATCTAAATTGTTTTTGGGTTTTTTAAAACAAAATACGTGCAATGGACGTCCTGATATTTGCAGTGTTTCCCCCTTGTCGGAAAAAACAAGGAAACAACACGATGACACAAAACCGACATGTAAGTAAGACAAAGTGAGAAATGAAAAGTCTTCCTACCTGCAAGAGTGTCCTGCGACATATTGCCATACAGCTGTGAGAGTGTGTGTGTGAGTGTGTGTGTGTGTGTGTGTCAGTGCGCAGGGACCTGAAGTCCTGCAGCCAATCGCCTCCTCTGCTGCCTCGGATTTATTTATACCACGCAAACAGTGCGTCGGCGGGAGGAAGCGTCCAATCAGCGCCTCTTTAAAACAGTCCCGCCTCCCTGCGACGATTCATTGCATTCATTCATTCATTCATTCGTAATAACATGTGTTGATTATTCGGTAGGCTCATTGTGACACAAAAGAAAAGAAAGTAGTAAAATATCATGGCATATGTTATTGCCATCATTTATTTAAAACTACATTCAATATAAATTCCATAACAAACTGATTCAGATCAATTCAGGCCAGGCAACAATAAGGGACAGTATGCAACTTATCAGTCAAGTAGCCTAGTTGGTTTCAGAAAATACACGATATTTGGGGTTTTCTCTTTCCTGTAGTGTGTTATATAGGTTTTAGTGCATGTTAATGGTCTTTAAAGGCTAAAATCCCAGTTTCTGTCCCACACTCTTCCATCACTTTGTAACGCTTGCGCTCCTATTGGCTAGCGCTCCAACACATTGTACGTGATAGGCTAAGGGGCGGGGCATATCTAAGCTGTGCACAACAGAGCCGACCAGCTAACCAATCAGAGCAGACTGGGCTCTGGTTTCAGACAGAGGGTGAAAAGAGGTGCTGCAGCACAGGCAGTATGAGAAAAAGAGCTTTTTTATCATTAAAGCATGGAGACGTGTCACAGTAGAGGCATTAAATAATAATATGAACCTGAACATTTGAATTACAGAACCCCTTTAATCAATATCTTGCCAGATTTGGTATGAAAC